CAATACCCATATATCTTGATTAAAATTGGCAAACTTGTGCAACGAATATAATTTTTAGTTATTATAAATTATTTGAAAACGTTTTAGGACCCAAGGTAGAGTTTTATTTTTAACCAGGTAAATGACAAACAAATCACGAATATTATATAGTACCAAAAGATGTCACATTTTAAGTTAAGGAAATCCCTAAAACATTTTATATTTCGTTAGCTTTGCGTTCATAATTACATCAAATTTAAATCTCGTGCCAACTTTTGGTTAATCAAAATATCGACAAGTTAGTGACTGAGACATTCCATACATAGCTTATCGATATTAAACACAGGGTACGTTTTATTGATTCTGTTTAGTTTTATAGAAAAGACTGATACAGTCTGTAAATGAAACGTTCAGCATCGCCTTGTAGAACGTCACAGCTACGTTTTATCGTCTAATATATTTGTTTTTTCTTCCTTTACTTTTATCCACTTGTTATAAAGCCATATGTTCCCCGGTGGATCAGCGGTAAATCTACGGACTTACAACGCAAAAATCCGGGGTTTGATTCCCCACGGTGAACAGAGTGCATATAGCCCATTGTGTAGCTTTGATTAAGAAAACAACATGTACAAACAATGAAGCCAAGCGTAAATTTCTCCAGAAAAAAAAATGTTTCCAGTGAGCCAAGAAAATGAGTTTCCAGAAAATCGACTGCAAATCTCTCCAGAAAGTTAAGAGAATGTATCTCCAGATGTTGAATTATTTGATCTCCAGACGTTGAAATATTGGATCTACAGCAAGTCGAGAGAAAACATATTCCACAAGTTCAGAAAATGAGTCTCAGGATAGTCAACTGAGAGTGTCTTCTGTAAGTTGAAGGAGTGAGACTACAACAAGTCGACTGAGAGTGTCTCCTGTAAGTTGAAGAAGTGAGCCTACAACAAGTAGAGTGAGAGTGTCTCCGTGTAAGTTGAAGGAGTGAGCCTACAACAAGTAGACTGAGAGTGTCTTCTGTAAGTTGAAGGAGTGAGACTACAACAAGTAGACTGAGAGTGTCTTCTGTAAGTTGAAGGAGTGAGACTACAACAAGTAGACTGAGAGTGTCTCCTTTAAGTTGAAGGAGTGAGCCTACAACAAGTAGACTGAGAGTGTCTCCTTTAAGTTGAAGGAGTGAGCCTACAACAAGTAGACTGAGAGTGT